TTGAGACGTGAACTATAGTTTGTTATAGCGCGACTTTTGAAAATAAGTGTATCGTAAAGTTATATTCGGAAAGAATAAACCAGTTTTATTAAGTAAGGACTTGTGTCGCTAAAGTTTCGTCGGAACGAATTTACGGGAAATCAATTAACAAATGGAGACGTAACAGTATCCTCCTTGTGTAAAAGACAATAAATCATCCTTTAATGTATCTAATTCGCTTTTAAATTTACTAATGTTTTCCATTTGTACTTCTTGTTTCCTTTCTTGTTCCAGTTGCCACTGCTGTAGTTCCTCTTCTTGTTTCTTTTCTGGTTTTCTTGTTTCTTTTCTTTTTCCTCCAACAACTGCTGTTGTCTCTCTTCTTGTTTTTTCTTTTTCCTCCAACAACTGCTGTAATTTCTCTTCTTGTTTCTTTTCTTTTTCCTCCAACAACTGCTGTAATCTCTCTTCTTGTTTCATTTCTTTTTCCTCCAACACTGCTGTAATCTCTCTTCTTGTTTCTTTTCTTGTTCTTCTTGTTTCTTTTGCTGCTATCAAGTCTGCTAAGCTGTAGTTTGATTTGCCGCTTCTCGTTTCAATTCTTTTTGTCCCACTCTCTGACACCAATTTGTTACACCTCCGTTGTTAGTTAATTTTTCCGTATAATTTCTTTCCGAAGAAACTTTAGCGACGCAAGTCCTTTTTTTAAAGAAAACTGGTTTATTCTTTCTGAATACAACTTTGCAATACACTTAATTTCCACAGCCACGCTATAACAAATGCTATAATTCACAACGAACGTCTCACATGCTCGACTCAACAATACATCTCTCTTTGTCCGCAGTTCAATTACGCATTGTTGTCGTCAGTTCTTGGCGGATTATATACAAGACTACCACATATCTAGTAGCCTCTCGAGGTTTCATGAACGTTCTAGAAGCACATGACGTGTTACTAGCGTCACGTGTCCTCCGCTGTAGTAACAGTATGTTGACCATCCTGTACTGTTAGACACAATATGCCAGCTATGTGGATACTGTAATTCGATCAAGACGAGTGTCCCACGAACCTTCAAGGTTGGTGGATTTCTGAATAGTTCATAAAGCTGTTTCTAGGTAACATCACATACAACTGATCCATGCTGAATAATGAGTGATAGAGTTATTCTTATCATTTTAGTATGGCAGGTGGTCCAGATATGTTTGAGGGATCCAGATATTAAATTTATCAGGATATCTTTTCCATTTTATGAAGTATTGTTTGTTTTTGCCCCTTCCTGTTCACATAATATTTTTATACAGTGTAGATATCACTGGGAGACTTTATAACATATTCAGATTCGTAAAATGTTCCATTTAATTTTTCTCTAAGATAGTCTTATACAATATTGAATTTCTCTCTATTCTCTCGTAAATATTCTGTCTCTCCATCCAGGTATATTGATGCCTTTCTTAAATTGATGCCTCACTTTACTAATACGTATTTGATTACCCACTTTGAATCAAAATATTACTTTACTAAGTGGTTTGTAAAGTGTATTCCACACCACACACTGATTAAAGTGATTAACATCTTTTGGTCTCATTTTGATGCTGCTATGATACGATTGATTATAGGCAGTGACCATATGTTTCAGTACAGTTATATACTTGTAAGTTCCATGGTGATTAAAATAACAACATCATTCTAGTTTTAAGAGTGTGATTAAATCTTTCAAGTGTAGATGCTTTTGTTTCATTATGTATAGTAAAGAATCACATGTCTTTTTCCTTGAGATAGTATTGAAACAGATGATTAGTACGTTCTGTTTCAGCATTGGTTTGAAGTTTACAAGGTTTTCGACCATGTTTTAAAATCTGCTT